ATTCAGCACCATCCGAAGCACGAAGAACCTTAGCAATGGTATTAGAATCCATCTGCATCAACATGGCTGGGATGAAGCTATCAGCACGAAGTAAGATGCATTGCAAGATCGGTACAATCAAATTTGTATAAATAAGTAATTGGCCTTCATATAACCTTTTAATTTAGACAACGAATCAGGGGAGAAAAGTAAGAATCCAAACATAAACGAAATTCTAAATCCAGATTTCAATTGAATGCCAATAAAAAATATCAGACGCTCAAGATTTAGTCGAACCCCCCTCCTTCCAGGAATATATGGATGAACGAAATTCTTGATTCAAAAACAAAAAAGATAACATACCTAATAAGAGTTATTATGGCTATGCTGTATTTATTATAAAATAATATCTTTGTAATTATATTTTATACATTACAAGATTTTGTTTTAAATATCTGACATGTCACATAATGTAATCAAACTTATTTTTCTTTAAGGATTGACAATTTATTTCTATTGTAACCCTATTTTTTGAATAAAAATATAGAACTGGTATTATTCATAATAAAAAGTTGAAGAAAAAAATAATGAATGTGAATCATAAAAATAGTGAGATGAAAAAATTAAATAATTTATAAACTATAGTTATGAACATAAAAGTTGTAATTAAAAAANGGTGGTGGTGGTGGTGGTGTTATCACGTTATCCAAATGATTGTCTTTAAAATAAAAAAATATTACGAATATTATTTTTCATACATAAAAAGATATTTTAAAAAATTAATTAGAATATAAAATTAGCATAAATATCAAAATGTTAAATAGTTAAGAGTTATTATGGCTATGCTGTATTTATTATAAAATAATATCTTTGTAATTATATTTTATACATTACAAGATTTTGTTTTAAATATCTGACATGTCACATAATGTAATCAAACTTATTTTTCTTTAAGGATTGACAATTTATTTCTATTGTAACCCTATTTTTTGAATAAAAATATAGAACTGGTATTATTCATAATAAAAAGTTGAAGAAAAAAATAATGAATGTGAATCATAAAAATAGTGAGATGAAAAAATTAAATAATTTATAAACTATAGTTATGAACATAAAAGTTGTAATTAAAAAATTTGTAATAATAATAATAATAATAGTAATAATATATTTTTTTAGAGTTATTTGTCAAAAGGTAGAAAGAATTTGTAGAAAATAAATATAGTTGGAAGAAATTAGAAGAAACTGGAAAAAACTGGAAGAAACTGGAAAGAACTGAAAGGAACTAGAAAAAACTGGAAGAACTGGAAGGAACTGGAAGGAACTGGAAGAAACTAGAAGAAACTGGAAGGAACTGGAAAGAACTGGAAGTTAAGAGTTCAAGTCCTAAAGAACAGGCCCTCTGTGTAATTTTGTCGTTTGGCAATTTGTAGGCAAATGGAGCTGCTGGAGCAAAACATGGAGCTGCTGTACATTCAGGCTGCAATAAAACTGTTACGATAATTTATTTTTTGATGCATTACATTTAATCCTATGGAAACTTTTCCTACTTTCGAGTAAAGGTAAGGTTTGCATGTAAACATTCTCTCTAGATCCTACTCTCATGGGATTTAATTTGGGTTATTGTTGTAGTTGTTGCATTACATTTAAGCATTTGATGTATTTTAAAAGAAATAAAAAAAAATCCTGAAGTGGTTGTTTATTAGGCCATCAGCTCTGCCTAGACCTGGCAAATCGGTTGGTCAGGTCGGGTTCGGGTTCGGTCACCTTGGGTTCGGGTTACTTCGGGTTCGGTTAAGTTCGGGTTCGGGTTGATAACTACATGTTCATGACCCAGTGTCATCGGGTTCGGGTTGACCCAACGGGTTATGAGTTTCATTTATTTTTTTGAAATTTTAAGTAAGTTTTATGACTTAGTGTCAATATTACGAATAAAAAAAATTAAATATGTAGAAGTTTTGAAAAATGTAAGATAAGTATGCGACATCATTAAAATTTGTTATAATGTTATAAATCTGTACACAAAAATGAGTTGTAAGCAAAGAAATATAATCATTATCTTATTTTTTATAACACTATATTTCATATTAAAATGTATGATTATGAAAAAATCTTAGATTAGCGGGTCGGTCAGGTCGGGTTCGGGTTCGGTCGGGTTTGACCCATTTTTAGCGGGTCATTTTGGGTTCGGTCAACTTCGGGTTCGGTCAGCAAAACCTTTGTTCAAAACCCAGTATTTTCGGGCCGGGTTTCGGGTCAAAAACAGGTCGGGTCATTTTTTGCCAGGTCTAGCTGTGCCTTCTCCTTTTCTCCCTCGCTAGCTAAACACTACGTTAGTTTTAGTTTTCTCTTTCCCTTCCCTCCCCCCTTCCAGAAAATTAATATTCCCTTTTCCCCTTCGGTAATATTATTTTTAAATACTTATTTTAATTAAAATAATTAAATAAAAAATAAAAGTAATAAAAATTACTTCAAATTGTTACGGAGAATTTTATTACTTCAAATAGTTTACTCACGGGGTGTTACCACATCATTTCACGTGTTTCACTTTCTCTCTAGTTTTACTCTCTCATATATTACTTTGCAATGAAGCAGAGGAGCCATGTTCAGCTTCCATTCAACTCATGATACCAAGCACAAAATGCAGATATGAGGTTGAGACAAAAATACGTGCATTAACCCCCCAAAAAACATATAACTAAAATGCCAGCGTTGTTTTGAACCTCCATGCTCCACATTTCATGCTTGATATTACAGAGCTAGAATGAAAAGAGTTATCTCATTACATCAATGTATGCATACACATTAACGAGAAGTAATTGAATATTGATGAAATTACCTCAAAAAACATATGGTTTTTCCCTCAAGGCCCTCAAACACCAAATGTTCCGGTTTGTATCAAGCCGAAGAAATGAAGCTTGAAATTCTCTCTCCAACCCGGAATCAGTCTCAGTTGCCACAAATGTAATGAAGTGTGTATATATATATATATATATAGATTTTGGTTCAGGTGAGAATGCAATCTAATGAAAGAAATAAGAATAAATCTAGTGCATTAGATTAGGAGATCTAAAGGTTAGAATTGCATCAAAATTAGGTGCACTAAGATGGTTTGAAAATGCATCATCTCGAGATGCACCATAATCCTTTAAAAATGCACTATCTCGAAATTTGAGTGCTGAATGCAATCTGAGCCGCACGATGCATCAGATCCAAAGACTAGATTTCATTCTTATTTCTTTCACTAAGGTGCAATCTCACTTGAACCAGCCCCTATATATAGATTTTGGTTCAGGTGAGAATGCAATCTAATGAAAGAAATAAGAATGAATCTAGTGCATTTTATATATATATATATATATATAAAAGACACTTTTTTATCTTTAAAAAGTTTTATGGGACGAGATAGTACAAAACAAGAGATGACATAAGTATTTTATACGCCTCTGTCTCACAAAATAATTCATGTTTATAATTAACTATATCATGCCACCAATAACTTTTGTTTAGATGTATTTCTTTCTATGGTCATTTGGTAAAATAAAATATTTGTCACATTTTTTATGAAATTTTTATTTCCATCATATCCGATGGAGCCAAAATTTTAGCATTTTTATGCTTTAGGGTGTGATGGAATAAATCAAAATGGATCTCTAAACTGTCTACGCTTTTTTAATTAATGAAGTAGCAGTTAGTCAAGCAATGCAACTTTCGACGTTGAGCCGGTGGTCTCTTTGGAAACAGCCTCTCTACTTTTGAGTAGGGGCAAGGTCTGCGACACACACCCTTCCCAAACCCTACTCTTGTGGGATTTAACTGGGTTGTTGTTGTTGTTGTCTTTTATAAAATTTTTGATATATTTTTTAAATATAGAAGTACTACTTTTTGTTTAATACTAACTTCTAAATATAATATTTTAAAATAAATGAGATTTTACATATTATTCGAAACAAAAAAGATTTCTTTTGAAACGGAAGAAATATAATGAAATGAATAGTGAAAATTTAGAAGCAAACCAATGAATATAATTTGGGAGTGGAATTTTTCCCATAATGGATCATATTCTTGAAAGCGCGTATAAAACCATATATTTTTGTTAAATTTATAAACATAAAAATAAAATTCACATTTTAAAAATTTATATACAAAATTTTACAAAACAAAAGATCACTTAAAATATTTTATTTTATCATACTTCTTTCATCTCGTAACTTTCTTTCTCTTTTGTTTTTATTGGTCGACAATATTTTTTAAATTTTACTATTCAATAACTATATTGTATTAGAATTTAAAACTAATATCAATAGATTCATTTTGAAATGAAGATTTAAAATCATAATGCATACTTATATAAATAAAAATCACCAAAAATAGAAATAAAATATAATAAAAATACTAAAATATAAGCTTCATGTTTTTATTCTTAAAACAGGAATTTATACTGTAGTATTATGACACTGTATATGGATATTTCACAACTTTTGTAATCTTATTTTGGAAATAAATATATTGAACCTCTATTTTGATTTTTTTTTAATATTTTACTTATATTTTAGTCTTTTTCTCTATATAAATACACATGTTAACAATCAAACTAGTCTATTGGAGAATGTGAAAAAGAAAGGAGAGAAAATTATAGAAATTTTTGAAATTTTGAATTTTTTTATTTTTTATTTGAAAAAATATAAATAAAATGAATTTAAATAATTAAAATGTGTAAAAAAAATGTAAAATTAAAAAAAAATAATTACTTGCCACTGCATGACATGCCAATATACTCTCATGTCACACGCTGGATTATTTTTTATTAGTTGAAACTTTCCATGTTACTGTGTGTCATTTTATTTCTTACTTGCCATTGTGAATGATCTAATAGCATGGGTGTCCTCCGTCATTTACAAAAAGGGCGTCAAAACCCATTTGTTTTTAAAAATTATTTGTAAAGTTTCTATGGTTTCTAAATAGCTCACACATGTCTCCCTTACCTATTTTGTAAGCAAAAAATGACATTTAGCCCTTCCTTGCGCTATTATCCCATTTTTGAACGGAACACTATAACAAACCAGCGGTTGCCCATTTTCAACCCTCCCTCCAAATCGCATCCCGTAACATAACCACGGCATTTCCTCCCCGAACAACCGCCGTCTCCGCCGCAGCCGCCCTATCCTAATCTCTGATCACCGCATTCTTTCGACCTTATTTCCCCTTTCGGCGCTGTAACGAAGAACGAATTGGGAAAGGAGAGTACATGTTTTGGGGATTGAAATGTCGTCGATCGATCTCAAAGTCGATCAATTGAAGCAATTGAGGGACATATTCTCGAGATTCGACATGGATTCCGACGGGAGCTTGACGGTGCTGGAACTGGCGGCGCTGCTGCGTTCCTTAGGGCTGAAGCCGTCGGGGGACCAGATCCAGGCGCTTCTGGCCAACATGGACGCCAACGGGAACGGCGCCGTGGAATTCGAGGAGCTGGCCAGGGCGATCTTGCCGGACATGACGGAGGAGATCCTGGTGAACCAGGAGCAGATCCTCGAGGTCTTCCGCTCGTTCGATCGCGACGGGAACGGGTACATCACGCTGGCGGAGCTGGCCGGATCCATGGCCAAGATGGGGCAGCCGCTGACGTACAGGGAGCTGACGGAGATGATACGGGAGGCGGACACCGACGGAGACGGGGTGATAAACTTCAACGAATTCGCCGCCGTGATGGCCAGATCGGCCGCCGGTTATCTCGGCCTCCCCGTTTCGTGACCGCCAATCATTGGTGTGCTGAAATTAAGTTATTTTGTATGCATCAATCAAATTACTCCATTCCAATCCTCAAAAAAAAAAAAACTCCAATCCACCATTTACAAAAAAGGTAAGATTACTGCAGAAAAAGGCGGATTTCGCTTGCTATTGAAATGGAATTGACTCTTGGAAATGGTATCCAAATCTCTCATCCCAAGTATATACTCAATATCAATGTTTTTCATCTTGTTCAATGACTTCAATCATCATAACGAGCGTCGTGGGTTGTTCTTACCCCTGGAATTAGGATGTCATGTTTTATTTTTAAAATAAGAGTCTCAGATATTATATATTAACTAGTATTTCACTCGTGCGATGCACGGGAATATATTAGGTCTACAAGTTGAGAAGAACATGAAAAAATAAATTATTCTTTTTTAAACTTAAAAATGAATAATACGCCGTATTAAAAATATATACAATTTTTAGTATGATTGATATATGACACCATTTAATAGAAATAATATATGTTTGCGGATGTAAGTATATTCTTTATTTAATTTTAAATTTAAACAGTAATGCACAAAATAAAAGAATATAAATTTCAAGAATTTTTTCATTTCATAATCAATAATAATCAGGAAGTAAAATGATATGTTAATTTAGTGTGCATCATATGTAAGCAAATGAATAACAATCTCCATTACGAAGCAAAAGTTAACCTTTTATAGATTATTATGTACAAAGTAATATTTATTAGATGCTTCAAGTTAATTTCTTCATTTAATCCCATATTCCTTGAGTTTTACACCTAGACTTAAAAATCAATTTTTTTTTATTAAGATATTTTCATGATCTTTGAGTAATATTTTGTAAGATTTCATTCGCTTAAATATATTTTCTTATATTTTCAAAAATAGTTTGATAATAAATTATGTAAAATATACTCTGTAAATAAAACATCATTAGTATTTGAGTGAATTTGCTAAACGAACATTTACAACAATGAAGTGTTTCAATATATTCCTCTTTTCTAAATTATTCTAGTATATTTCTCTTTTCAAAATTATTCTTTGTGTGATTATTTTTATGTTTTCTAAATTTTTTAATTTTTAAAAATAACATTTTAAAGTAGAGAAATCTCCATAGATAAGAGTGAAAAAATTTGAAAATCTCAAATGGGAGTCTTATGTCTTTTAAAACAAAAATCAGATTATAATAGCACTATTGTGTAGGAATTTGCGTTGTGGTATGTTGAAAAAAAATTATAATGTATTATGTCAGTGTGATTAATTAATCGTCGTCGATCTGCAATGGCACTCTGGTGACTGGAGGCAACAAATGTCACTGGTGACTGGAGGCAACAGATGTCACTTTTGAGTTTTAAAACTGTTCATCTAAGCACTTTGACTCATCAAATTCTCTCAATGTGCAAGCCTAAATATAGTCATGTGTGATCTTGTTTGATTTGTCTTTTAACATATACTCCCTCCGTCCCTTAATAATGTTCCGTTTTTGACTTTTGGAGGAATTAAGGGAGGGATATTTTTGTGTTGACTTTCCAAAAATACCCTTGATGTGCTGTGTAAAAGTAAGATGTGATAGGTAGATTATTTGTAAAAAGGTATGATGTGATAGGTAGGGTATTATTTAGGGACAAAGAAAAAACGAAAGAGGAACTTTATTTAGGGACGGAGGGAGTAGATTATTAATATATAATTTCTATAATTTTTTAATATACAAATTACAAGATAAAATGGATTAAAGAAGTGTATTGGATGGTGTATAAAAATAAAAGTGAACAAATACTCTGGGACGGAGGTAGTATGAAAGTATGGGGAGTGACCAGCAAAAGACAACGCTCACAAAAAAACTCCACCAGACAGTCACACTAAACAATTAACGAAGATGTATTGTATTGCATACTTAAAATGTTTCCAAAGATAATGATGTAGTTTTACTTGATTCCAAAAGAATAAAAACACCAAATATTTGCCCACTATGACAGCATGGAGCCAAATCCAAATCAACAAAACAAATTTATAAGAGATTGATGTGCAAAATGCAAGCCCAAGGTCATGCTCAACATTAAAGATCTTCATGATTAGCCACGCTTAAGAGACCATCTTCATTATAAGACAACATCATCCAATAAATAGCATATGACCAGATCACACTCAGCCAAAAGCACTCTTCAACTACTATTTATGCCATTATTCCTGCTAGCTTCTTAAGCATCTAAAGAGAACTCATCATCTTTATTCACCTATGTAGGCATCTTCATAGTTATAAACAATAACCATGAGCAAAAAGGCATACTAAAAAATCAGAAACCATAATGGAATGCAAAAAAACCTTACCCCAACACCCTGATCAACACTTATAATCTCCACCAAAATCAACACTAACTGAAGCAAACATTATTGATAAACCATCTAACTGTTCTTCTATTCAAACTTCAGTCTTAAGTAGTCTAAAGTGATATCTTTACCTGGAAGAGTGCCTTTCATATTAAATTATTCACTCAACATCAACGCAATACATTTGCATCAATTTCTGACAGTAGCTAAATTGAGTGAGTAGATATCAGTTAAAACAGTTTAAAAGTGAGTCCACATCCTACAAATTATACAAAATGTAATTTAACTACCATGTCAATGTTCCCAAAATGTCGTTACCAGTACCTTTGGCAGCTACAACTCCCCATTGTAACACATGATGATAAGAATCATAAGGCTTGACATAATAATAATAATAATTTAAACACAAATTCAGACTCAAGCAAAAAACCAGGCCCTAGCTGCTCATGATGAAATCATCTCAAGAAGCTAATTCTTCATGAGCTGCTGCCAGAAATCAGGGTTAAGGTCATTTGTTGCTACCCGCCTTTCCCTTAACTTGTTCACTTTCACTTATAGCCAATGCTAAAAACCTAATAAAGCTTACATATTAATATGAAAATTCAAATAAATTCATACGTGCTCCTGCATAATTTCCAGTCAACGTAAAAAATATTTTCATTCATTGTATTAGTACTCCAATAAATTCTAATTAAAGTCTAAATATGGTTCATTTTAGTTTATATTGTAAAATGATTGAGACTAACTGTTTCAGCTTGTAAGATTTAGTTTTAACTTCACAAACCAATTTAATACATCATTCAATTCAAAAGTGTAGAAGCTAGAAAAATACAAAGGGCCACAGACACCTAAAGTTAACTAAGTCAGCAAACATATGTGGAATGAACACAATGCCATCATTTTGTATTTTCTCCCAAAAGTCATAATCGAATATGAGTCCGCACTTGTTCTTTGCATTGAAATGATTTGCAGCAATTATAAACTTGCTCCAAGAATTGTATAGGCAGGTGCACTGCTCATTGATAACTTTATTAAACTCTCTAGAGTCCAAGTTGGGAGTACATTGGTGGTGTGGATATTGGTCAGAATAGCTTGGGTGGATAAGGCATCCAATGAGGGAGGGTGAAAAGGTTGTGCCTAAGCAGAGAGTACTTTAGAATGGGGCAAGATAAAATCTAGCTAGGTGCTGTGATTTTTAGTGTTACCCACATCCAATTGAAACAAAATCTTGGATATTGAAGACTCAATAATATGGAAAATCTGGCCTTTAAGGTGTGTTACCAGGGTGTCTTTACAAGAGGACTTCTACCTCCAACATGATGCTATAGGTTTAGAGTTAGTGAAATCATAGAGGCAGCGATACAAAATATGATTATGGTCCAAGAAATCTGACTATCCTCTATAGCCATGGTCTGGAGGGTTGATAATAACAGTATCTCCTTCTAGTCTTATTTCATGGATGCAACAGAATCTACTAAAGAAATTTGAATCAACAAAACGTGAAAGAGTGTGATTACCTTCTGTTATCTTCATAGCCCAGGAGCTTGAGCATAGATTGACATGCAATTCCTTTAGGCAACATAAAATCCACTCAATTGATTCAAAGTCAGCGCATACATTGTAATTCTTTTTACTTTAAATTTTAGAAATTTGAATCTTTGAGTTTAGTCTTGAACTGTCAGGCGAGAAAAGCTTCGACTGGATTTGAAAATATGAACCTCTGAATCTGTTCTGACCTAATTTCTTATTCCAAGGAAGAAATACATGTCTACCTATGTGTCTCTACAATCAATGACTTAGGAGCATAACCCCAAAGGTACAGCACCCAAACAAAACATTGAAATCCAAAACAAAATCATACGGAGTATATTTTTATTCCCTCTCTGACTGCCCGCCTGAGTAACAACAATTCCATCACGGCGAAGAAAAACAGGGATCGACAGATAGCAAAAATTTGCAGAGAGCCAATTCAATTATTGAATAAGCGGTCAAATAAAGATGAAAGTAATTATTATTATCAAGGCGGATAAACGTATGGAACCTTTTCGTATAGTATCAATGAATTATCATCATACTCTATATAACACCGACACGCCATACCTCTGAAGAGATCGCGACTCAAAAGCTGCCCGCGGCTTCAACGACACACCAGACAAAGTAAAGGTGGTCGGGGTTGTAATTAGGAAGACCCCGACAGAGGAGAATCTGGCGATGATGGGCCGGTATCGGAGAATCCGCAGTAGGGAAAACCAGAGGGACTCGTCGGGTGGAGAGAAAACGTTGCAAATCTTCACGAAAAAATCCAGACCAACCGGCGTTTGTAATTGACGGCCAGATTTGGTCATTTAGGATAAAATTGAGCCGTCCGATTCCTTGAAATTGGAGCAGAAATTGGATTGGATTTCACACAATTTTCATCCTTTCTTTTATATATATAATAGACATTTCACAATATTTTTGGATATTATATATTGATATTATTAATATTTTAATTTTTATTTAAGAAAAATAAAAACATAAACTTCTAGTTTTGGCAATTTCATAAAGTTCCTGTATTGAAAGTGTTTCTAGATTATTTTAATTGCTTACCAGATTCTATACGTAATTTTTTAAAGAACTTCAAATGTCTCTAAATTATTTTTTGTATTTATCTGATCCATATTCTTTTAAATTGGTGCTTTAATGGTTCTTTCGGTGGCTTTTTTGAACGAAATCTCTAAAATTATTGTAAGAATTGACGTTAAATCATAAATTTTCGAACAACTTGTCTGTGTTAATCAAACAATTCCCGCGTACTTGATTTGAAAAAATGTTCCTGAATAGACTAATACGCATAGTTTTAAAAACCGGACCAGACCGGCCGGTTCGGACCGTGAACCGGCGAACCGGTGGTCCAACCGGTCCGGTCCAGCCCATTGGACCGTAATGCGCTTCGAACCGGTCCGAACCGGTAAGAACCGGCCGGTCGGACCGGCCCGACCAGTTTTTTTTTTTTTTTTTTTTTGCAATTTTTTTCCAAAACTTCACTCCATGGAGGTTTGAACCCAAGAACTCTTAGCTATTTGGTTAAGTTCTTAACCATCCAACTAACAGTGTTTGTTGTTTCAAATTCATATAATTTTTTCTAATATTTCATAATTAATAAAAAGATTGTTTAAAAATTACTTTTCATTTTTAAAAATATACTCTCTCGTCCCATTTTAAATTGTCTATTTGCCTTTTTTCTCCGTCCCAAAATAAGTTGCCTGTCAGTTGTTTTCATAAACTTTTAAAAATAAAATACCTAAACTACCCCTAAAATAAGTAACTCTTCTTCACCTTATCTTCTCATTTATCATCACCCCTCCTAAAAAATAATGTCAATTTCGGAAAATCAACTCTATTTTTTATTTTCCTTAAATATGCCTAAAAGTCAAAACAGGTGATTTAAATTGGGGCGGATGGAGTAATAAGTAGTACTTGTATTATATGCTATGAGTGTAAACCATTGAAATGTTTGTGCAAACCTGTGGTGTACAAATGGGGTATATTTTTTTGGTGTAAGTGTAGCATGTTCCATTTTTAATTCAGCTTTCTGTTTCAAATTTTAAATTACTTCGATTTGAATCAGAACATGTGAATTATTGGTTCGTTTTTTCGCTTTTTTTTTGCATTTTGTATTCTCGATTCATTTCTTAAAATAATTTAAAACAAGAATTTTAAAATGTGTTGCATTTTTTTAAAAAAAACCGTTCTTTAATGAAATAGCAATACAAGCTACTCCTCTTGGCATTTCAAGTTCTGGCTTTTCGGATCAAAATGCTAAGTAAAAAAGTCATTAGCCAAACAATGATTTTGGTTGTTCGCTTAGTCGAAAAAGCCAAAGTCAGCCAAAGATGTCAAAGGCTATATGAAAAGCTGTTTTCCAAACACGGCTTTACTTCCATTAGTGAGACCAGTCCAACTTAGAAATGTAGTCTTAAAAGGTACTCCCTCCATCCGTATTAAAGTTTACGTTTTGACTTTTGGTCATTTTTAAGGAGGTTGACTAACCTTGTGAAATGACCAAAATACCCCCTTTCCAGTCTCCACCTCACCCGACGGCTCAAAATCGGAAAACAGCCCATAGGCCGCCGTGCTTCTCCCGCCCCTCCGCCTCCGGATCTTCGGCACCGGCCTTCACGGATGGGCCCAAAGCCAGAGCTAATCTCCACGGATCTTCAGCACCGCCGTCGAGGATGTCATAAACCTCCCTGTCGAAGAACCCTGGAAGCTTCCTCTCCCTCCTCAAATCGTTCCTCACCCAAAACCACCGCCCACTTCGGCTCACCCTGAGTCGACCCGGATTCCAGCCCAGCCGTCCGGCCCTCCTGACCCGGCTCTCCACGACTATCTTCCTCTATATGAGCACCAGGAACAGCCCATCGTCGTCCACCAGGGAAGCCGCGACGTCTTGGCACCATCTCGTCCTCAATTGGGGGTGGGGGGAGAAAGAACAGAGGAAGGGTCGGGAGAAAGAGATGAAAAAGAAAAGCAAGAAGAAGAAGGGGAGAGAGAGGATTGAAAAGGTATAGAGGGAGAGGGAGAGAGAAGATTGAAATGGTAAAGAACGGTATTTTTGGAAGAGTGTGGGTTAAAATTAGAAATGTAACCTTTATTTTTGAAGGGAGAAAAAGGAGAAACGTAAACTTTATTTCCGGACGGAGGGAGTAGAATTTTTGTATTTGATATTTTCAAGTGGTATTTTCATCTAGTTAGAGTCGAGTTTTTTTTATAATTAATATTTTTGAGTTAGAGGGGGTTAAAACCAATATTTGATGGTTTTATAGAACTAAATACATATTTAATCGTGTATGTAAAAGACGTAAAGACTTAGGACCAATTCGGTAACATCATTAGGCACTACAAAAAAACTGGGTTTTTGCGTTAATTATCAAAAATTGCCATACATATTTTTGTAATGGAGTATTTGTGGTAATTAATACTTCGTAGAATCTACCAAAAGTTTACTCCGTGTTATGGTTAATATTAATATTTTTGGTTTTTACAGTGTATAATTTAATACGGAGTAGAATTTTACTTTTTGTAATTGATATTTTCAAGTGTTATTTCCATCGAGTTGGAGTTGATTTTTTTAATAAATAATATTTTCGAGTTAGATGGATTTAAACCAATATTCAATGGTTTTACAAGAACTAAATAATGCATATTTATTCCATTTTATTTATAAAAAAGAAATACTCTCTCTGTCCTAACATAATTAGAGTTTAGCGTTAACATTTAAAAAATTTTAATAGAAAGATACTACACATAAAAAAGACTTCGAGACTTAGGCTAAAAAGCTAAAAAGTGTCAAATTTGACTATTAAAAAAATCAAAATGAGACTAATTAATTGTAGGACGTTAGTACAAATTTGATTAAAAATGAAAAATCTGTGAAAAAGAAGTAGGGAGTAACTCCAAATAAGGTTAACAAAATTGCTAAAAATACGCCAAATCTTATACTCCGTACCTTATTTGTACTCCCTCCATCTCTACCCTACAAAAGTAAGAAAAGAAAAAAAAGATTAAAAATATAAAAAGGAAATCAATGGCTAGAATTTTTGATGTACAAATGGGATAGACTATTTTGGTATACCCATGACCTAACATTCCTCTAAGGTTAAATACTCCGATCGGTATCTAGCAATTAAGCCTATGAGTAAAGTTGCGTAGCTTTGTAATACTCCGGACCATGCATCCGCATTGGTCATTGCAATAAAATGACTAAACTAGGATTCTTAAGTTAAGATGTCTGAATGGTTCAGCATTTAATGGTTCAGACTGTTTGTTTCAGCCTCTTAATGGTTCAGATGTCTGAATGGTTAAGTATTATACAGAGTCTGAATGGTTAAGACCTCTTATCTGAATTGATCAGACATTTGCATCTCAATAGTTAAGCAATATACTACTCCCTCCGTCCGGAAATTTTCTTCCCGTGTTGACTTGGCACGCTTATTAAGAAATAGTTAAAAAAATGCAAAATTTTCAAAAATGCACTTACCATAAACTTTTTAATATCCTTTTATTATTAAAAAAGTGTTAAAAAAGTAGATTTGTGATAAAATATAAGGGTATAATTGATATTTAGCCTTAAAAAGCATACTAAAAAAGGAAATGGGAAGAATATTTCCGGACGGACTAAAAAGGAAAATGGGAAGAATATTTCCGGACGGAGGGAGTAGCTCTTAATGGTTCAGACCTCTTACTGGTTTAGCACTTAATGGTTCAGACCTCTTACTAGTTCAGCACTATCGATTCAGAAGTTACCAAACAGCCCTAAGTATAGTAGCCGCCAAACAAACATTTCTCGTAGGCCGTAGCTATCTATCTATCTGATGATTCCATATTTGGTAACCCTAAAAAGGGTAATTAAATATGTTCTTGAAATTAAAGTGCATAATTATTTACGCTAATTACCCCCGCCGCCGACCTAAATAATGTCGCCATATATATAAGCTAGAGTAGGGTATGCATAAATGTAGGTTTAATACTCCGTACTAATTAACATGAAAATCATCATTCCATCAAGAGTAAAAAACATGGGTTCCAGTGGTCGCCGTGATGATAAAGAAGCCTTGATGCAGAGTCTGCTCGGCCGGAAGAAGCTCCACTTGGTCCTCGACTTGGACCACACCCTCGTCCACTGCGTCCCCGTCTCCAAACTCACCGTTCAAGATTCCGCTAACGTGGAGATGATGATGATCAAAAACCCCGCCGCCGGAGACACCCACCTGCTCGACGGCGGCGCCTTGGTTCTCAAACTCCGGCCGGGGGTCCGGTCGTTCCTGGAGAAGGCCAGTACCATGTTCGACTTGTCCATCTACATTCTACACCATGGGCACCCGCCGCTACGCCAGTCAGGTCGCCGCCAGACTTGTCCATCACGCGTCATTCGTGAAGGTGATATCGAGGGAGGACTGCACGGTGGAGAAGCAGAAGGGGCTGGACGTGGTCCCGTCGCACCGGAGGGCCGTGCTGGTGGTGGATGACAAGGCCAAGGTTTGGGCGAGGGAGGACCGGGACAACGTCTTGACCATAGCCCCTTATTACTTCTTTGGTCGTCTCATCAAGGGGGAAGAAGAAGAAGAAGAAGAAGACAAGGGAGAGCTTTCAAGGGTTCTTGGAGTCTTGAAAGAGGTTCACTCCAGGTTCTTTCAGGAAGACGACGATGGGGAGAGAGACGCGGCGCAAATCTTGAAAAGGGTCCGATTGTTCTATCGCGGCCCTCCCGACGTGTCGTCGTTGTTGCATCGCCAGCGTCGTCGTGGTCGTGTTCAAGAAGAAAATCAAGAAGATAAAGATTGGAGTAAAATCAAGAAGATCAAGATTGTGTTCGGATCGGGAACGTGCGGGTTGGCATCGCCGCCACCTATAGCCACCACCACGACGGCGGCGATTCTTTGATCAGCAGCTGGTGAAGGGACCATCGAGGGAATGCGGGCATGCATGGCGGATTCTTTGAGACAACTAGTAACTTCAGTTTTGTCCACAATAAGAAAAACCCAAACAGCTCTAGAATAATCATCAACAATGGTAAGAAAATAATGAGAACCAGTAGACAAACATGGTGAATATGGCCCCCACAAATCACAGTGAATTAAATCAAACAAGGCATCAGCTTTATTAAGACTTGACGAAAAACTAGAACGAGTTTGCTTTGAAAAGAAACAAATGTCCCATGACTGAAAATTTTTAATTTCAGCTGCACTTTTATTAAAAGGAGGCAAGGACAAAACTTGAGGTGACGGGTGACCAAGACGCTGATGCAAAAGAGAGACTGATTCGGCTTTGGATGCCCGGGCGAAAGAAGGAAAGACATAAACTCCATTGTGCACTTCACATCGTCCAATCTGCGTCTTCGAAGTTCGGTCCTGTATCACACAACATTGGTCATCAAAGAAAACATGACAATTATGAGAGTTGACAAGACAACTCACAGAGATAAGATTGCATTTTAAATTAGGCACATAAAGCACATCATGGAGAATCAAAGTTGGGGATACTTGCATGCGCCCACACGAGTTAGTCACAACTCGAGCTCCATCCGGTAGGCTAATAGTACAAGGAGGCACGGATTTTATATCCGTCAAATTTGAGAAAACTCCTGTCATATGATGTGATGCCCCGCTGTCTATTAACCATTCACATGAGGAAACATTGGACGTACCTTGCAAACAGTCAGAAGTAGAGGGCGGTGAATCAAACGAGGGATCATGAATCAAACGAGTTTTCTTCGTGGTGGACGTCATTGCCAATTTTCAAAGAGAAACAGAATCGCCGGAGACCAAATTATTGGAGTATTCGCTGGCCAATAATTGAAGAACGCCGCAACAATAGGAAAACAATAGGAAGGACCAATAATTGAACCTCCGCAACAATAATTGAACCTCCTCTGCCGAAGAAACTACTAGCGTCGCGGACGGGAAATTCACTGGCCACACACGATCACACACAAACACACGATCGACCGATGGCGTGAGTCGATCGAGATCAGCACCGAAAAAAAAACGTATCTTGCCCAGGGTTTTGGCTCTGATACCATGTAAAAATTTAGAGTAAAACTGATCTGTTTTCATTAAACAACCAAGACCGTATATATACAAGTTTACACGAGACGGGCTAGGGTTACACGAGGCCCAATATAAAAATACAATTAAATACAAATATCCGCTAACAGAGGGAATGCGGGCATGCATGGCGGATATATATCTCGGAAGAGTTAGTTACGTTGCAGATCCAAGAGCAAGAAGAAAACCATATGCAATGGTACGTTAGTTGGAGATAATGAAGAAATCATGCATCTGGCAGGCTGCAGGAAGAAGATTATCAATTCCACCAACATACATTGTCTACTTTTCTTAGTATACTTCTGTAATATTGTAATTTAGTGTAGGGGTCGGGCAAAAATTATAAGCTCCCGTCGGGGTTTTCTGCGGTTCTTTCCTCGGCTGTGAAAAGAGAGTCGAACCGCAGGGTCTTTAGATAATCTTTAATAAAAGTGAAAGTTAATTTTATTATTAGTGTCTTTCTCAAACCCTAATTTTTGTTCTCTTTCTCAATCTAATCCCCTTCAATTCCCTCTCTCTCTCTGACGCCGCCGTATCTGTCCAATTCTTTCGTGTTGGCGCACGAATTGGAGGCCAAACATGAGGCATTAGTTTCGGTCCATCTCCTCGCGAGACAAATACGTAGAAATGTCGTCACCCAACGAATGGACTGGAGGGGTATGAATGCAAAAGGACTTTGTTATGTACTCTAGGACAATCAAAGGTACGGAGTACATAAACAATTACTCCCTCCGTTTTTTAAAACACTTTCTCTTTCATTTTTTTCACTTCCAACAAAACACTTCCACTTTTACCCGTACTTTTTCATACCATACCCATTACATCATATTTTATCTCTAATAATCTATCCATCACATCTTACTTTTACCTATCACATCAAGTGCAAAATTGGAAGTCGACTATAATTTAATACTTTCTTATTTTTACACAAAGTCAAAATAAGAACACTTTTTCCAAACGGAGGGAGTAGATCGTGTCATGATAACGGTTATCACAATTGTTTTTCGGATGAGTAAATAATTCAAGCGTATGCACATCCCAAAACTGTAGTAAGAAACTCATTGATCAATGTGAATATTCTTTATATGCGATTTGCTAATGTATATCATCCTTATTCGAACCTCTTGTGTGCATTTATTTATTTTAGTTTCGCTCAAGTCACCCGTAAAGTCGGTGGTAATTGTGCAACACTAAAGTATCAAAAGGAGCAACATTCCAATCCAATCTCTTGACATTTCACTCAAACATAAATGAAGAAGACCCAGAAAGGACTAAACTCGGAGAGTAATACTAACTCACACAGAATAGCGATTACAACAAGATAGAAAGTCGAGAGCTTCTCACACAGCAAGACCGAAAGTCATTAGCTTCTCACTTACACTCTCCACTCCCCAAGCTATAAGGTTATTTGATTTTATTATGGATAGATGGTGCTAGTTATATACTCCACCCGTTTCTTAAAACGTACACTTCCTCTTCCATTTTTTTTCTTTATAACACTTCAACTTCTTATTAAAAAATTACTTTTTCCCCTACTTATCTTACATTTCTAATCACATTATATTTTTTCACTAATAATATACTACTATCAATTACGTCTTACTTTTACACATCACATTAATTAATGAAAAAATCGGAAAGTCAACTACAAATATACACTCTTTATTTCTTCCATTTGTCAAAATGGGAACCGTTTTAAGAAACGGATGGAGTATGTAATACTCCCCTCGTGTTGGTGGTTTTTGTGTTATCGACTTTTTTGTATAATTGAATTTACTTACATCAGACAAGAATTTTAATATCGTTAAACAAGTTATTAGGTGCCAATTTGAGTTCGTTCAACAATATTATAAATTCATAGCGCAGGTCCGGGGGCGGCAACCAGCTGGATTTTTTTTATTATGGACATTATTGCCTTATTAAAATCCTTGATATTTTAGTGAATGGAATCCAAAAATGTTCAAATTTGAACGCCCTCACTCAGTCATTTTTTAAACTTAGCCTTACCTCAAGTATATAGAAAATATAAATATAAAAATAACGAAAATGAAAAATGACTACAAACTTAATACGTAGTAAATAACAAGATCATCAATAAAAACTAAACCCAAATTGATACTCCGTAAGTAATAAATCTAAAAATACACAAAGTGGTGGGCTTTTTAGGCACTAGGAGTATTACCTCATTGATTCCTCTCGATGGTAAAAGTAGAATACAAAAAAATACAAAAAGAAGTAATAACATTCTTCTCTTGTTAAGTTCCTAAAAGTTTGAAATAAAAATGAAAACAAAAAACTAAAAATTTATTTCCTTACTTCAACCCAATCCTTAATCCCGAATGGGCTGGGGGCTAAGGTGGGGTTTAGGGGTGGGTTAAGGAGTATGAATCACCAATTTTTATAAATGGAGCAAGGTAAGTCCCTAAATTGAACTGGTGTCGTCATTGGTCTAACAATGTGGTGGTGTACCTTTAAGGGCAGTGGAAACAGGTGTGACACCGGTGGGCGTCAACCCTATTTTTAACGCCAGAAGGCGTTAAACACCGTCCTAGGGTGTCAAACGGGCTTCATCCACTCGGCTTCAAATGTTTGACGATGCGTCCTCCCCTCCTAACGGCTAAATTAGCCGTTGCAACCATTAAAAAAATTAATTATTTTTTTATAAATTTCAAACTCCATATCCTCAAATTCTCACACCTTTCAATCTCCAATTCTCATCAATCTTCTTCACATCTTCTTCAATTCTCAATTCTTCAATTCTTTAACTTTCTTTTCAACATGAATCCCTCCGGCTCCGGCTTTTTTCTCCGACAATCTCGAACCCAACGAACACACCATGTGGATCTTTTAACAATATAGGAGTAATCCATCGATGTTCAAGACGCAACCATCGGGGTACGTCTATGAGCGGTAGTCAGTTCCGGAGACTCAACCAGAACCATCCAGCACCAAAAAAAAGTGCACGCCAGAAGAGCACAAAGAGAAAGGCACTCAAGCGATGACTGAGGCGGCACAGTCAGTCCAAAAGTGGACATCGGAGGACGTACGAGTGCTTGTTGGCGTCGGCTTGGGTTGACATCTCCGAGCATCCTATCGTTGGTAAAAATTACTATATGTTTTGTAATATATTTATGATTTTATTTATATAATCGTGTTATATATTTGTGTTAAAAAAATTCGTGTTATACTTTTTCAAAGGTTCAGAGCAAACGAAGGATGCGATGTGGGATCGTATCGAGGAGAAGTTCTTTACGGCGATGAACAAGGACGCCTCCTACTGTAACCGGAACTAACTCACTTCTAAATGGAGCCACATCAAACGTAAATGTTCTCCGGCTTGCCATGGCCTGGTATCAAGATGACGGGCAGCAAGACAAGGTGCTTATCAATCTTTGAAGGATTTGAGCCATTAACCGAAGTGGTAAGAACTCAACAATTCCGACGGAGGATCGTCAAAGAAAAGATCCTCTGGCGAGGTTGAGATCAATGACACTATCGGTTCGTCCGGACAAAGGCCTCCCTTCAATGTTGCAGATTCTAATGACGAGGATCTCATTCCACGGCCGATCGGAAGAAAGAAGGCAAGATCCATTATTGCCTCAGGTTCTAGAGGGTTCGACCCTGTTTCTGTTTCCTCTTACGATGATATCGATCGTGCAATGGTTGAACAACATCGGGTGTTTAATATCCGAGAAGAAGAGATAGCGAGAAGAAAGGAAGAGAAGGACGAGATTGAAATAATGAAAACCGACCTTTCTATGGTATCGGCCTTCAAACGTTTGATCTTCATGAAAAGACAAAAAGAGATCACAGCTAAATATAATTTATCTTAGTTTTTTTATTAATGTATTTTTTTTATTATTGTCGCTTTCTTTTTTAATTTAATGAATGTAATTTTTTAAAATTATTGTCGCTTCAATTTCTTTTAATTTAATGAATGTAACTTTTTTAAATTATTCCTATTTCAATGTAATTAAATACGGAGTATTAAAATAATTAAATTTTATTAATTTAGTTTTAGAAGATGTATATTTTTAAAATGCAAAAAATAAAAATTTGAAACCCATGTTTAAAGCCTCAGGACTTCAAACCCACAATCACCGAATTTGTGAGATAAGTCAAAACTAACATGAAAGAGAAATTTTGAAATTGCAAAGACTTGTTATTTTGATCGATCGATCTTTCTTCTAATAATACGGAGTACCTTTTTACAGTCATGGGTTCATGGCACGGTAGGCGTTCAGTTGAGTAGGTGCGAAAGTGGGGATAATAAAAGCTACTGGAAGTACTTCATTTACTAAATTTTCAGGCTCTCCCCAATTGGCCTTCTCCCCAAACCCAATTTCAGATCTATTTTCTGAGAAGGTTTTTGATAAATACAAGACTCCTCCCCTTCTGTTTCTAGTGGTAAAAATCTGCATCTTTATTTAAGATTCCATAAGCTCTCTTTTTTACTGCTGCGGTTTAACCTTAATTGTCTCTCCTCCCCTCAAAGGCACATTTGCCTTTGAACTGTATTTGAACTGCAGTGCTGATATTCTCTTGAACTCTGAAGAGAAGAGCTGGATTTGGAGCTTTAGATCTGTGAGTGCATCATTATCGTCTATACAAAGGTTAGACCCCAATTTTTTACTGCGGTTTACCTTTTGCTTTTGTTTATTCCGTTTTTTTGTTCTCCATGGGGTTTTATTTTTTGTGGCTTAAACTGATTTTTTGTTATTTATGTCATTTATCTATATTTTATTTATCAAAGTATAAAAAATAGTGAAAAAATGGAATATAATATGATAATTGAGTTTGAGTTCTGTATATTTTTTTTGTAGATGACTTATTGCGTGATTTGAACATGAGTTTAATGCAATGGACTGGAGATGACTTAAGTGTCCTTTTTTCTGTCAAATTAGATGGATTTTGACTATCAATGAAATAAAAATCATATTATTTATTAGTGCAAAAATTATTTTATTAGATGTATTTTGCAAAAAAATTTTCACATATGAAATGTATAACATTTGTCTAGTTTGATTAAAAAGATTGAACAAACAAATCTATATACATTTATATATGTACATATAAATATGCCTATAATCCATTTCAGTAGAGTTTACAACTCCAATATTTGGACCAAAAACAAAATTTATGTTTATTTTTAGTTTATTCCAAACTTTCAATTTAGACCAACTTTTAACCACAAATGCTGTATCGTTGTTACTTTATCCGTCCCAGAGCCAATTTCTTGAGATATTTGATACGGAGTATTTTGTTAAAAACGCCCTAAGTTTCAACATTGGTGGGAGAGCTCCCATTCGGTCTGGACCCAGTCAAAATTGGACCGAACCTTTTTTGTTTCGGTCTTCGGTCTTCACTTTTTCCTCATCCAGTCTTTGATTTGGTCGGTCCACCGGGTTCTGATGCGGACTAATGGACCGGTCTAAATTTATTTTTTTTTAAATAATTTTTTCTATACAATATTCTAATATAATTTTAAAGTTTTTTTCATATACATAAAATTATTCTAGCTTTGTTACTAAAATTCATTTTAAATGTAATGTTTTTATTTTTTTACATAATTCTTTGAAAAATGTAGTCTAATTCGAAATAAAAAATAAGATTTTTTAATATGAAAAGTGTAAAAATATAAACAGCACTTTTATATTAGCATCTAATGCATATCAAATTTATGTATACTACAGAGTATAACTTAAGTTTGTACTTTATCAATAATGAAACTCTAATAAACAAAAATGAACATTATAAAAAAACTCTCAAACAAAAATAGTATAAAAAAATATCTATTTATCAAAATAAATAGAGAATACAAAAAAAGAGTATTATAGAAATGTAAAAAGGCAATAAGATGAATAAGAAATATCTTCTATGTAAAACCAGAATTACAACACATTTTTCGTAAAACGAAAAGAGGATATATTATATTTAAATATCGTTAAAAAATTTAAAATAATGGTGTTTGACGATGTTTAGTGCATGTTAAACATTAAAAATGTACTATAGTAATAATTTTGTTCAATTAAGTACTTTAAATTAAATAAAAAATTGAATTTTAGTTAAATAAAAAATCACATTTATTTGGTCCAGTCTCGAATTTACCCGTGCGGTCTCATGTTGTCCTTACCTTAATCGTTGCAGTCCTCAGTCCATGAAATGTCCCTTATCCCGGTCTGGTCTCGGTCTAGGTTAGACCCTATGAACACCCCTACTAAGGAGGTGGATTTTTACTAGGTGCTTTGTAAGAAGAGTGTACAGTGTAGTGCTCATTTCAAATGGCATGCCCCAAGGAAAATCTCTTAATAAAGTTTATATGTATTAATTCTATTTTCCTAAAAAATTAAAATACCAAGTGAAACAAGCAATAACTTAAATACTTAGATCTTTTGTATAACTACATTTTAGCCTGTCTTTGGTGTTAGTTTTAAAGTTAAACACTCTTGTTGTATTTGAACTGTAGAATATTTTTAGTTAAATACTCCCTCCGTCCCAAAAAGAATGGGACGGTTTGACATTTTGGAAAATTAAGGGAGAGATATTTTGGTATTGATTTTCCAAAAATACCCTTGATATGATTGATATGATGGGTAAAAGTAGGATGTGATGAGTAGATTATTAGGAAAAAGGTATGATGTGATAGGTAGGGTATGAAAAGTAAGGGGTAAAAGTGGTTTTTTAATAGAAATGTAACGGACTTTACGGGACGCAGTTTTTTCTAAACGTAACAAACTTTTTGGGACGGAAGGAGTATATTATAATTGTTAGTTTAACACTAATTAATATGTAATTTATTTAAATGGTTAATGTTTATTATGCTTCAAAAAATGGAGAAGATTGATAGTCTTGATTTATCAATAGTTGAGGACAAACCGAATTTGTGGGAGCCTATTTATCGAGGTTAGATCGAAAACGCAAGGGTCGTCTTTACGAAACATCATTTAGAGTTTCAAGACACCAATAGTGATGAGACGGTTTAGCAGATTACTCCATCCCCCCCCCCCTAAAAAGTTCCTACTCTTAGGAATATCACAATTAGAACCCATAATAGCATGGTTGTCGCTAGAATAATAGTCATACCCTCTATATTAGTGCATTTCAAGTTGGGGGAGTGTGGTATGTTTTTCGAGATGCTTATGTTGGAGATGTGTTTCTTCGAATGTCTATTGATCTTGAAAAGAGTTGCATTGATTTCTTTCCAAAGACAAAGAAATATCATGATGCACCGACCCCTATAGGAGAGAGTATTGGATTGAGTATGTATACATTAATAAGTGCGTAAACGATATTGTGGGGGAAAGAGTTCTTACTAGGAATGAGATTGCTAGGATCCAGCCACAATACGCTTAAGGTTTAGTTATTATATTTCCGACGATTTCTAAAGAAATCAACTTCCAGAATGTGTTAGACATTTTGTGGTGTTTGTAGGAGTAACCTGCGGATCTCTTTTTTGCATGCCGCAGTTTGGAAACCCCAAAATGATTGGGGAATTGGACACGATGTTCATTGCTGGATCATTGAAAAGAAAACAGAAACTTTGATGTCTCATCATGCAATTGGGTGCGTGATTAAGAGGTATAAATAATTGGTTAATTTCAAGTTATTGTTTATTTATATATAGTTTGTTTTATATTTAATTTTTAACTATTTTTATTTTAATCTATTTTGGTTGAATTGTAGTAGTGATCCATTGTTTTAATCACACGTTGTTTTTCGCCATCAAATAGAATTGGGTTGCCATCTATGTGTTGAATGAAAAACTCCTGATTCAAGAAAAACAAAATACAATTAACATTGAACTTTTAATAAAGTCAGTACATGAGAGCTAGAGAAAGGGGGTGGGCCAACAAGGAATACAAGGTGTATCTGTTTTTTTGTATCTTTCTAAATGAAAGAGTTTCTCGTTGATATTGATAGAGAATAATTTGGATCTAATTATAAAATTAGGATGATTACTTTGTTATGTAATTGCAAGTTTGCAACATAGTCCTACTGTTAGTGCTTTTTAATACTTATTTTGCTAAACTGTTTGAGTGAAAGTACATTATGGGTTTGAGATTGGAGAAAAAAACTAAAGTAGAAATAAAACATTGAAAATATACCAAAATAGGAGTTCAATTTTTTTCCAAACTTAAACCCAAGTAGATTTGGTATATTTTCAATGTTTTATTTCTACTTTAGTTTTTTTTCCAATTTCAAACTCATAATGTCTTTCACTCACATAGTTTAGTGGACTAAGTACTAAAAAGCACTAATAGTAGGACTATGTTGTAATTACATAACAAAGTAATCATTCTAATTTTATAATTAGATCCAATCTATTCTCTTTCAATATCAAGGAGAAACTCCTTCATATAGAAAGATAAAAAAAGCAGCCATACACCTTGTATACCTTGTTGGCCCATCCCCTTTCTCTTGCTCTCATCTACTGACTTTAGTAAAGGTTCAATGTTCATTGTATTTTGCTTTTTCTTTAATCAGGAGTTTTCATTTAACACATGGATGGTAACCTAATTCTATTTGATGGCGAAAAACAATGTGTGATTGAAGCAATGGATCACTACTGCAATTCAACCAAAATGGATTAAAATAAGAAGAGTTAAAAATTAAATATAGAACAAATTATATATAAATAAGCAATAACTTGAAACTAACCAATTTTTTATACCTCTTAATCACGCACCCAATTACATGATGAGCCATCAAACTTTCTATTTTCGTTTCAATGATCCAGTGATGAACATCACGTCCAATTTCCCCCCAGCCATTTTGGTGTTTCCAAATTGCGGCATGAAGAAAGGAATCCGTAGGTTGCTCCTCCAAACACGACAAAATGTCTAGCACTTCCCGGAAGTTGATTGCTTCAGAAATCGTCGGAAATATAATAACTGAACCTCGAGCTTGTTGTGACTTGATCCTAGCAATCTCATTCCTATTAAGAACCCGTTCCCCCGCAATATCTTTTACCGCACTTATTAATGTATACATACTCAATCCAATATTCTATCTTGTAGAGGTTAGTGCATCATGATATTGGTTCATCCTTGGAACGAACTCAATGTAACTCTCATCAAGATCAATGGATATTCGAGGAAACACATCTCCAACAAAAGCATCTCGAAAAACATACCACACTCCCTCAACTTGAAATGCACTAATATAGAGGGTATGACTATTATTTCTAGCGACAACCATCCTATTATGGGTTCTAATTGTGAAATTATTGTGTAGAAACTTTGTTAGGGGGAGATGGGGTAAAACGCTAAACCGTCTCTCTTCACTGTTGGTGTCTTGAATCTCTAAATGATGTTTTGTAAATACGACCCTTGCGCTTTCGATCCAACCTCGATAAATAAGATTCCACAGATTTGGGTTGTCCTCAACTATTGATAAATCAAGACTATTAATTTCCTCCATTTTCTGAAACCTAATAAACATTAATAATTTAAATAAATTATATATCAATTTGTGTTAAACTAGTAATTAAAATGTATTTAACTAAAAATATTCTACACTTCATATACAACAAGAGTGTTTAAATTTAAAACTAACACCAAACACATGCTAAACTGTAGCTATACAAAAAATATTTAAGTTATTACTTGTTTTACTTGGTATTTTAATATTTGTGGAAAATAGAATTAATACATAGAAACTTATAATTAATTATTCTTCTTGAGGCATGCCATTTGAAATGAGCAGTACACTGTACACTTTTCTTACAAAGCACCTAGTAAAAATCCTCCTCCTTAAAGGACAAGGGACATTTCATGGACTGAGGACTGAACCGATTAAGGTAAGGCCAACATGGGACCGCATGGGGTAAACTCAAGACCGGACCAAATAAATACGATTTTTTATTTCCCTAAAATTTAATTGTTTATTTAATTTAAAGTACTTAATTGAACAAAATTATTACTATAGCACATTTTTAATGTGTAACATCCACTAAACATTTTTAATGTGTAACATACAAAAATATGTGGTGATCATGGAGACGCCTTGGTGGGAGACCAGATGCCTTGGTGGGAGACCAGATGGCTGGGCAAACACTGCCCGATGGTGCTGTAGCACGGGCGAGATCACCTGGGGCTGATCGGCTGGGAAGCACACCGGCTATTCCTTGGTTGCCTTGGGCTGCTGCGTAACCACCACTTCAAAACACTTAGAGATGTGACGCGCGGCGTGTAAGGTGCAAAACGTATGGAGTGATAATGGCCGGGGAGTTAACCCATCCCCCTTAATTGTACCGGTTTGCCCTGCTACACAAAATCCTTCGTCAAATTAGCATAATCGTGTGTCACCTAAACAAGAAGTCGGGGCCATTGAACGCCAAGCACCAAGTCCGGGCTGTGGATTGGGAGCACAAACACGTCCAAAAGAAAATGTAACCCCTGGAGCAAAACGTCGACGTTACAACATTGGTGCGTGCATATCAAGGATGCGCCGTTACCCACGTAAACCCTAAATGGAGTCACTTCCGCCATGGGTAAGCTGAGCTTCTCAACTACCGCCAGTTCAATGAAATTATGTGTGCTACCATTGTCCATTAATACATCCACGACCACCTCCGCCAACATGCCTGACAAACGCACGGAACGCGCGCTGACACACCGGTCAAACTGTGAAGGGAATACACATCGGTCGTAATCAGCGTTTCGTCAAGCGGCGGCGGCATGCTGTCGTCTGTGGCATCATCATCGTCCAGTAACAATAAAAAACGACCACAGCGGTGGCCTTTCACCCATTTTTCGTCGCACTTGTAGCAATGCCCCTTCGCGTCGCGTTCCTTCTTCTCGGCAAAGGTCAATCGTCAGATGGGTGTTGTAGCCGGGACCTTTGGGGAGGGTATATCCTTCGACCATGGAGTGGGCAGGAGGGCCGCAAGAGAGTATGGCTTGGGGCCACCAGGTTCTTGAGGAAGGGCTGGCCGTTGAGACAGCGTGGCTGATCTGATTATAATAAGAATAAGTAATAAGAAGAAAAAATAAGTTAAACGAAATGTTGCCTTAAGACCCTTAATTACACTTCCTTCTTCCATTGTTTATCTACAATGATACCAACTCCATTTATGTTCTTCAGTTTTCCTGTATACCATAGCTTGAAGCCTGAAGTGAACTCCTTAGCCTTTGCTCCCACCCACTTTGTTTCTTGTAAGCACATAATATTAATCCTTCTGCGTATCATAGTATCCACCAACTCCATAGACTTACATGTCAAAGTGCCTATGTTCCATGTCCCAAACCGCAACCTATACAACATGTTGCTTCTGGGCAACGACCTAGCTTTAGCGCAATATCGTATTTGATGCATGTCATGAAGATTCGACAAGGTTTTACGTTGGTTGCCGAGACCTACCACAACCCTTCTCTTTTATCCGAGCTTGGGACCGGCTATGTACCGTAGTTACATGAGTTAACATAGGCAGAGTTTGTACTGCTAATATGCCAAAACTAAATCGTTATCATTGTTTACAACCTGTAAATAAAAAAAACCACTGTATGTAACCAAAAACAGAACATTACTATTTCCAAAGCCTTATAGTGTGTGTCTAATGCATCAGTAAACAAACAAAAAAGATACCCAAAAGCTACGTACGTAGCATAATAATGTTTTAAGATTTGTACAAGGGTAATTTAGGCATATAGGACTTGAACATGTTACTTTTTCTAAATATAGAAAGTTCTAAAATGTCCCGCCTTTGAGTAAAATAAGACATTATTAAAAATGATTTGAATAGTCATTGAAATAATCAATCATTATCCAATACTTGTTACTAATGACCACATCTAACATCCTTAAATCTGTGTTTTTATAGCTCCAAAAAACAATTAAGGTTGACATTTATTGAAAGCATTGTGTGAATAAGGACACTTTGAAGTTGCCTATGAATGTTTGAGCATATACCTTGGAAATTCTATTTACCAAATTCTCGTGGCCCAAAGCTCAGCACAAAAACAATCAGCAAGACTCTGGAAGCTCTTCATAGGATGTTGCAACACATAGAGCTTTCCATTAGACAGACAGACCTGTAACATGCACGAATCACAAGAGAAGACATCAACAGATGAAAGTGCACAAAGAGGGGATTTAAGGATAAAGAACAGAGTTTTAATATTGACTATACATTTAAAATAACGTTCATTCACTTATTTGATGTATGCTAACAACATTTCAGCCAAAACAGAAAAGAGTTTTCATATGGACACTATAACGAAAAAGCCAACAGCAAGTTCGATATTACTTTGCATTGAAACATAGGAGCCCTATTCGGATTCCTGGTTAATTTTGTTTTTCAGTAATGACAACCTGGTTAATTTTGTTTTCTTCAGTTTCCTAGTGATGACTAATATTACCTAGAGTATGTATTTAGTTATCATTCATGGTGTCTTCTATTTTACCATTGTTTGCTTATTATAGATGGGAAAAACTTTTAAAATTGACTCACTCAGTACAAGAAGTTATAAACCTTCGGGTACAATATACTTCATTACATTTGTGGCAACTCAGACTGATTCCGGGTTGTAGAGAGAATCCCAAACTTCATTTTTTCAGGCTGATGCTCACTGGGACATTTGGTATTTGAGGGCCTTGTGGGAAACACCATATGTTTTTTGAGGTAATTTCATCATTATTCAATTACTTCTCATTAATCTGTAAATATTGATGTAATGAGATACGGAGTAACTCTTTTTCATTTTAGCTCTGTAATATCAAGAATGAAACGTGGAGCATGGAGGTGGAGTCATTGTGTGCTATATAAGTTTTTTCCACTGTGTAGTGGGTTTAAAATTACACTGAGTTTTTTGTCTTTTCCAAGTGTATGCTGGTAATGTCTTCGTTTAGTTGCAGAATAAAATTTTAATGCTTGAAGAAAACAAATATGAGCTTGGAAATAATTTTTTTAGACGCCCAGTACAAAACAAATCAAATGAACCTTAGTATGACCCCAAGTTTGACACCAATATCCTTACAGAAATACATTAGAGACACGAAATAGTTCTCTCTCTCTCACACATGATTGTAATGTTACACTAGTCAAAAATTGCATTGTATAAGTTTGATCCCCGCAATTGCATTGTATAAGTTTGATTGAGACTTTGGTCAAATTTTGACCCTGAGAGTCAAAAATTTATGGGGTACAATTACGTGGCTAAAGTGGTCCTAAGTTATCGTGAGAGACGAGATCACAGTGACGGTTTATGAGGAGGGTTTTGAGAAGGTAACTACTGCTAATTTTACAAATGAAGCATCATTACACAATGAAACAAATTTATGAAAATTTTTCATAGTAAATCTAATAAAATTGTGTTTTTATTAATATAATATAATATAATTTTTATTTAGTTTATAACCATAACTTTTCCAATTTGACTAAAAAGAGTCAAACTTAATGAGCACTATGGGACAAAGTATGTTGTTGACTTATCTTTCCCCTTATCTTACCCAAAGTTTTATTCCACTTCGACACATATTCAATTGAGCATCAGGGTGCTCTGTCCGTAAAATTAATAGTTTCTATTACCACCCACCTTGGCACCTTCTCCTGCCTCCTTTTATTCAGCCAATTAAAATTTATCTAAATAGCGATTCGGAAAGGAAGTAAAACATCAATTTTACACACGAAAAAGTCTTAGAACATATGATTCCCAATTAAAGTGATGTTTGAAACAAATATGATTGGTACTCCCTCCGTCTTAAAACTTTCTTCTCACTTCCTCTTTTCCCCGTCCTAAAACTACTTTCCCATTAGAAAAAAAGATGACAAATGACATTAATACCCTCATGTATTTGCACCAATTATCTTCTAACTCTATATTTTGAATGATTGCAAAAAAAATTCAAAAAATCTTTTTAAGGAGGGTAAAATTTGAAGTCAAATGCAAAAATTAAAAATGGGGAAAAGTCAAACTAGGAAGAAAGAATTAAGACGGAAGGAGTATAACTTTAGACTTCACAATTTTTGTATATGTATGGGAATGTGCTCATATAAAATTCATGGAGGCAAACACATAAATAAAGTACAGTAAAATACTTCGATACAATTTTTTATCACCCTCGACAGCTTTCATATGGAATCTGGTCATGTAAGTTCCGCTACATGATCGAAAGATTTAAAAAAATGGATGGGTTTTCAGGTTCCAATGTCATGAAATGAGCCGGAACCGATACAGTGCCATATTCGTAAAATTGACGATTACTATTCTCCAAGCCTCCCAGTAAACCCTCTCCCTCCCTTCAATTACACTCATCAAGTTACTTTTAACTTTGGAATCAAAATTGACTTGCGGTGCAATTGAAAGGGGTGGGAGTGTGTGTTTTGATTGGGGCAAGGTGATAGAATTTTTACTCACCCACTTGAGTGCAAAGTGTAGTGCTCATTTGAAACTTGTGCCCTAAGTAAAACCTTATCTTCTTTAAATCTATAAGAGTGTTAGTTCATTTCTTTTAACTTCTCTTAATAAATCTCAAAGTATCAATTCTTTTTTTAGGAATTGAAATAATATGTGAAAAAAGTAAAATTGTATATGCTTGGATTTTATTTGTCGCTACATTTTAGCTTGTATTCGGTTTTAGTTTTAAACACTCTTGTTCTCTACGATTTTTGTGTAGAATATTTTTTATTAAATACATTTTAATCACTACTTCAATACTATTTGGTATATAATTTATTTAAATTGTTAGTGTTTACTAGATTTCACAAAAGAGGAGAGATTGAAACTCTTGATTTACCAATAGTTGACGACAACCCATATCATTGGAAGTCTGTGTATAGAGGATGAATTAAAAATGCAATGGTTGTATTTTCTCATCATTATTTAAGTTTTCAAAACACCATAAAGCTTGAAGATTAATTGTTTTACCCTCTCTTCCCACTAGCCAAGTTCCTACTTTTAGAAATTTTACAATTAGAACCATTAATAGAATAGTTCTAGCTAGACTTAATTGTCATACTCTGTACATAAGTGTATTTCATGTTGATGGACGGTGGTATATTTTTCGGGAAGCCAATGTTGAACATAATCTCCCGCAAATATCTATCGATGCTGACGATAGTTATAATAACCTCCTCCCAAAGAAGAAGCAATCTGATAATGTGTTGACCCCAACGAGAGAATGTACTGGATTAGGTAAGTATGCATTGATTGGTGCGGTGAATAATATTGTTGAAGAATGAGCTCTTAATAAGAATGAGATTGCCACACCAAGCTTGAAGTTTTATTATACTTCAAATATTTTTTAAACAATCGGCTTTCGCCAAGTACTAGACATTTTGTCGCATTTGGGCGGGGGAAGGATCTATTGTTGCATTCTTCATGCCGCAATTTGTAAATACCAAAATAACTAAGGCAAATTGGGCACTGTGTTTATGGCCACATCCTCGAAGAGAAAATAGGTGATTTGATGACAAATCATACAACTGTGTGTGTGATTAAGAGCTATTAAAAAATTGATTAACTTTAGTTTATTGCTTATTTATATATAGTTTGTTTTAGATTTAATTTTTTCTTCTTTCAATCTATTTTGGTTGAATTACAGTAATGATTTATCTCCGGAATCAACTTCACCGCATCTTCTAGTCATAAAACTAAAAGGAGTGGGCATTCACTCAAAAAGAGGAATTGTCTAAGTCAACAGCTGGGAGAAATAGAAAGGGGGTGGGCCAACTAGGTTTAGAAGGTATATGCATAGTTTTTAGAAAAAGAGTGGTGACCAAACCAGTCAAGATAGTGGTTGGACACCTTGAACCACAGGTTTAGTTAGTAAACCAGTACCTTGATTTATACGATCGCCGGTCTAGTTCTAAAAACTATGCATATAGCTTTGAAACTTAGTGGGCTCGCCCCTCTATTCCTCTGATGACTTAAAGGATTCTCCTTTTTGCACTGAATGCACACTTTTTTTAGTTTTATGAGTAGAAGATGCGGAGAAGAAAAAGTTGATTCAAGAGACAGATCATTAAAGCAATTCAACCAAGATGGATTAAAAAATCTTAAAAATTAAATATAAAACAAAGTATACATTAATAAACAATAAACTAAAATTAAACAAACTTTTATGCCTCTTAATTATACACATAATTACATGATGTGTCATCAAATCATCTATTTTCTCCCATGACACGGTCATAAACACGACGGCTGATCAGTTATTATAGTCTTTCTAAATTACATATTGAAGAAAGGCATCAGTAGATCCTTCCTCAAATACAACAAAATATCAAGTACTGGTACATGCTAACTGTAAATTGCTTCAAAAATAATTAAAAATATAAAAGAAGACTCTTACTTAATGTGGCCTGATCCTAGCAATCTCATTCCTATCAAAACTCCATTTTCTTGCAATGTCATTCACCACACCAACCAATGCATATTAACCTAATTCAAATACTTTCTCTCGTAGGGCACGGCACGGCATCAGATCGCTTTGTCTTTGGATGAGCTCCGTATAGCTATCCTTAGTATCAAACTATCAATATTTATTTGCGAGTGAATATCTCCAGCATAGCCATCCCAAAAAACTTACTATCGTCCATCAATAAGAAATACACTTATATATAGAGTATGACACTTAATTCTAGCCACAATTGTTTTATTAATAATTTTTATTATAATATTTGTAAAAGTGAGAACTTGGCTAGTCAGAAGAGGGGGGCAAAACACTAAATCTTCTAGTTTTGTTGTTTGGAAAATTTAAATAATGATAAGTAAATGCAACTCTTACACTTTCAATCTATCCTCGATACATAGACAGCCAATAATATAGGTTGTCCTCAACTGTTGGTAAATCAAGAGTTTCAATTTTTTCTGCTTTATGAAACAGAAACCTATTAAACATTAACAATTCAAATAAATTACATTAGTATTGAACTAATTATGAGGGATATAGCAGAAGGAATACCAACGTTTAAAGGCAAATTTGTCAATTTAACATCGAAAGAGAGATTTAGCTAAAATGAGGGTGGATATAGCAAAAAGGAATACACTCAATTTCCTCACCAATATGGAAGGAAAATAGTTTTCATTTTCTTCTTTTTCCTTCCAAATTCCATGAACCATACATAGTGTTACAAAATACATATATGCTTTGTCATCCAGACATCCTACCGCAACTTTGTAGCAACTCCTATATTGATTATAGACGGCTGAGTGGAGAACTCTTAATAAGGAACTCATTAGCTTCCAGAAATTCCAGTTCCTTTCAAATCATGATCCCGAGAACAACCATTATGGAGCTGAAACAAACGACAAACATTAAGCAATATACTCAAAAAATCTTTTGACACTCGATCACAATGTCATAATATGACACTGGGTCCATTTGAGAAACCTCTAATGCCTTGCCCAGCTTCAAAATGATTCCAACCCCCTAACTCCACCAACAAATCATCCCCCGTAGTAAGTCCCTCGCACCCACCCCCAAGGGTTAGGAACCATTTCAGAGTTGGATGAGGCAACCTCAAATAATGTGGCTTCTTATTTTAGACACATCACTTTCCCAAATCATCTTCATGATCCACATTACATTTTCCATATTAAAGAGATAAAGGGAAAAGGTTTATCTCATTACATATGAAATCTCACCAAGATGTTATAGCACTCACAAGTCGTAACAATAAACATATCAATATAAAGAGAATAATGGAACCTTATTGAATAATAATGGAAACAAGTAGTCGATGAATTACCCATTAAATCAAAAGGCTTCTCCCTCAAGGCTCTCAAATACCAAGTTTT